TCTTCCAACGCAGGGGGCGCGGGTTCCATCCCTGGTCGGGGAACTAAGATCCCACATGCCGCGCGGCAGGGCCAAAAAGTAAAAAAATAAAATAAAAAATAAACAGAAAAAGAAGAGCTAAAACCTCCTGGGCCCGACGTACCCTATTAACCTCTGCTTCATTTCTCTGCTTTAAAGCAAAATTCCTTGAAAGCATTGTCTACACTTACTGTTACTGCTTTGGCATCTTTCACTTCTCTTTTTCCTCTCCAGTCAGGCTATTGCTCCCACCCCTGCCCTTGTCAAGAGCTTCAGTGACGTCCATGTTTCCAAATCCAGTGGCTGTATCTCTCAGTTTCAATTTACCCAACCTTCCAGCGAAGCACTCCTTAGGTGTTATCACGCTCTCCCTCCTAAAAGGCTCTCCCTTCTCAACCTCAGGAACACTCGCTTTCCGGGCTGTCCTATCTTACTGGCCGTCCTCGGCCTCCTGCCAGCTTCTGAATGTGGGCATGCACGTCCAAGGCTCTGTGCCCAGCTCTTCCCTATCACCCCTGCCCAGGAAGCCCATCTGCTCCGTTTGGTTTGTTACATCCACGTGCCCTCGAGCTAAAGTCCATCTCCATTCTGTTGGCCTCCCTATATCCTCCTGTCTACTCAGTGTTTCCACTGAGACGTGAGATGGGCATCACAAACCACAGCCAAAACACAACTGATTCTCACCCGAAAGGCGTTTGGAGGCGCCCAGCACTCGAGCGCGCTCTGAGGTGCTCGGAGGCATTCGGGAGGCGCTCGGAGGCTCTCGGGGTGTTTGGAGCTGCCGAGGCCTTGGCCGCGCCCTCTCCGCCCCAACGCCCAAGGGGGTGCCGCGATGGCTTCTGGGAAGTGTAGTTCCGGCCTTTTCGTTTTCCTTTCCCCGAGGTCCCTGCAGGCCGAGCCGGAACTACGACTCCCAGGGGCCTCCCCGGCTCGGAGGCCCCTCGTTCCGCCGCCTCGAGCTCCGAGGCCCGGGCCCAAGGGAGCCCAGCGGAGGTCGACTGCGGTCGGGGCCCTAGCTCAGTCGGTTAAGCAGCTCAGCGGCCGGCAGAGGCTAGGCTGGGGTCCCTCCAACGTCCCTGGGACCAGGAGAGGAAGCGATGAAGGCTCCGGCGCCCCGCAGCTCGGGCCCTCCTCCTGCGGCTCCAGCCCAGGACCGCTGACTGCCTCCGGTCGCCAGGAGGCCTGGACGTCGGGAATATTAAAAGCGCCCCAGATGGTTCAAAAGTGCAGCCAAAGCTAACAACGACTGGTGTCGAGGAAAGAGGGAGTCGTTTCAGGCTGTGGCAATGGAAGCAGGTTTCTCGAGGAGGGAACACAAGCCTTGCTGACCCTTCGGGAGACCGAGCCTCAGCTTTGTCCAGCATTCATTCAACAGGTGCTTTGAGCACCTGTTACGTGCAGGGAACACAGAGACGAGAGTGTCCAGACCTTTGCTGTCGAGGAACTTGCATTCTCTTGAGATGGGCAAGAGCCCACAGAGAGCCGCAAGCCGCCACATACTGCCCAGAGGTAGACAAAGGCGTTGCTTGGTGGAGAGTACCAGAGAAGCCCAGAGCTCATCAGGTTATTAAAGACAGCCCTTGGGTTTTAATGGATCTGAAAGGAGGAGGGATAAGGTTTTAAACCTGTGACCCAGAGGCCCTCTAGCTCCTCATGGGGGCACGCAGGCTTTTTGCTCTTTCACCCGCATACAAGAAACTGCCCTGCCCTGAAGATCGCGCACTCCCGCCGTCCGTGTCTGTTCTGCCCCTAGTTGTCATGCTGTCCATCCACTGTCAACAGGTGGCACTTGGGGCACCATCTTCCTCTCCCCTCCA